TGGCTTGTTTGGAAGGGTTGCCTGAAGAAAAAAATGGCCGCACAGCTTAGGGTTGCAATTTGCACCCAACACTATCTCACGACCAATTCGTACGAATTCGACGCATGATTAAAAAGTGGCTAATTCGTACTAATTCGTACGACCTCACTCATACTAATTCGTACGATTTGTCTAAACCCACGTGATGGTTAGGTTTAGGGGCGGGGTAAGGGGTAGGTCATTCGTACGAATTCATACAAATTGGCCAATTCGTAAAATATGTACGATTTAGCAAAATCGTATTAATTCGTACGAGTGAGGTCGTATGAATTATTACGAATTAGCCACTTTTTAATCATTCGTCGAATTCGTACGACTTGGTCATGAGATCGGGTTGGAACAAACCACAAAAACAATGTGGACAGACAACAATGTGTCACAGTGGAGATGTTTGGCCATAATTCACAGCGCCACCTTTGTTAAAAAGCAAACACAGCATATCAGTATAAACACCTCATGCCAAGCAAGGTGGTAAAGGGGTGTGTAAGGATTCACTGGAGGTTGTAGAGAGAGAACCCAAATGCAGTTTTGCTCAAAATAACACATAACAAGATAAAACGTAAAACAAAAACATGTGACGTGGCATGAAACAAAAACTGTGGACATAGACATCCAAACAGTGGTTACAGGTAACAATACTTGACAAAGACACATGGCAAACATGAGGGCTTAAATACTCAGACTAATGACAAGATGAGGGACGCCTGTAAAAAATGAACAGATGATTAACCATGCAAGACACATGGCAAGATCACATGACAAACAGGGAATCACATGGCAGACATGGAACATGACATGAACAAACCAAAACGTCACAGAGACAAGACCAAATCGTGACAGGGTGATGATTTAATTTAGTTGACCATGAACTCTTTGCATACTAAAATATCTAAGAGTTAAAGCAGATCTATGCAGTTTTTTTTTTTTTTTTTTACCTTAACTGAATAGCTTCAGAGTTACTGCAATGGTTATATGACTATTTTCGGGTTGAATGTTGTGCGTCCAAAAAGAACACGCTGAAAAAAAAGAAAAGATTCAATGTGTTGCACTGGCCTAGTCAAAGTCCAGATCTCATCCCGATTGAAATGCTGTGTCAGGACCTTAAGAGAGCTGTGCATAAACAAATGCCCACAAACCTCCAAGAAAGGAAGCAATTGTCAGGGGATTTAAAGTTAAAGGCCCAAAGACCAGGGGCCAGTTATAGCCATTATGTTAAGACAGTGTCTTAAAGGTGCATTGCTCAACATTTCATGTTAAAAATAGCCGTTTTCTAACCCATACATGCTTAAACAATCATCTGATGGGCTGAATGAGCACTTCTCTGATCACTGAGATCGCCTCTATAATCCTGTACATTCAAATAAATAAGAGGGATTCAGGCTTGAATCTGAGACTGGCCGTGACGTCATGCGCGTTGACGCTCGCCTGACTATGTGCCTATGTCTTGCAGGTAGTGTATTCGCCGCCATTCTCCGTATCAGAGAAAACAACTCGAGCGACACAACTTTAGTCAACTTTCCACAATAGAAGATGGATTCAAAGGGGCTGTTTAGCCTACACCTGGTCACTTCATGCGTTTTCTGTGATCGTGATCAGATAGATCGATCGTGAAAAGACCAGGTTGCCCTCCGAAACGCATTCGAGACGGATTTGAATCCGATCGCTCAAATCACTTGAGGAAGTGGTCTGGGCCGTATTCCAGACAAAAATGGACAAGTGTAAATGCATCCGGTTGAAAGCTGGCTATAGGTCATGTTATTTTAGTCATATATGACGACGCGCATCACCTCAGATGAGCAGCTGAGATCCTCCTAATTCCACGTAAGACAAAGAAAATACAACTTCTGTCTGTCCAGTGCCAGTCGTCGGAATGAGACTAAAGTCAACATCGGGAAGGCTTTCAACAAACGGAGAAATCTCTGGGTGGTCTGCTCTAGGGCTCAAACGGGTCATATACAAAATACCCAACTTATTTTGTTCATGAACGTGTTTTCATAATTATTTAATCATACGTGGATACAGTAAGCACATAAAACAGTTCAATATGGAGATAGATGGAAACAAAAACCGAAGTTTTCTACTAGCCTACTCCTGTTTTCCCCTCACACACACATATAAGTGTGTACTCGAATGCCTTTCCTTTTATATATTTTAAATGACCTGCAGATTTATAACTGTATTACCTCATTATGACTGTAACAAAAGATGTGTGCCGCACAGTGTGCGGCTGATGCTCCTTTGGTTATGAACAGCTCGTGCAAACGTGCGTGCATGTGTGTGTGAGCGCGCACGGTTTCGCTTGTCGCCAGAGGGGGCGTAGTTCTGCAAAAACTCAGATACTTGCGTTTTGCTCCTTTAAGAACTAGTATGACCAACTGTAAAACATATTGTTGGTTTAACTTAAAAAAATGAAGTGACCTGGTTGCCTTAACATTTTATAAGTTCATTGAAATGGAAAAATTGAGTTAATACAATGAAGGAGATTGATTTAATCATCAGAAACCCAAAATAGTATGATATCTGAACTACATAAATTATTTAAGTTGATTTGACAAAAGAAAAAATGTGATTACAAATCATGAAAATATTTTTTCACAGTGTAGCAGTTAGGGGTAATCAGTCTTACTGTATCAGTATCAAATTAGACCAATGTATGTTTTTATGTAACCAACTTAAAAAAGTTATGAACAGTCTTGAAGAAAAGAAATTTGATGACTAACTTGTAAGTCTTAGCAGTTTATGCAACTCGTATGATTAATTAAGACCTGGAGTCAGAAGTGCAATCAATTTAAGACAAGAGTCAGAATTATAATAAATTAAAGAAATATTTGACTGAAGATAGTTTGCAGTTTCATCAGGCAGAAGTTAGCTTCAAGACTCACAAGGAGTTTAGGCTCCATCTACAGTTACAAAGATCACAACAATTGTACCCTACACCAAGGTCCTTGCTTCAGGTTGAATGCTTCTGATTGGCTAAGAAATAAATAAACATATTAATTTTCCACACATGGACAGATAGACTAAAGCATGTCTCAATCGATCATGCTGTTGACACTCGGACCCTGAAGTTAGGCACGTCGTGACCTTCCAGGTCGCAGATCTGGGTCAGCCCATTCTCACCCCCAAGGCATCACCTAACTGACGCCTTGGGAAGCATTTGACCATGCTTCAATATCTGACGCTTTAGGCGCCCTTTAGCCTCAGTTAGATGACGCCCTAGGATCGCGTGTAACCCCAGACCTAAACCTACCCGCGTCATCTAACTGACGCTTTTCCTTTAGCTTCAGTTAGGTGACGCCGTAGGATTGCGGCGGTAGGATTGAAGCATGGTCAAAAGGTGACGCCTTGGGGTGAGAATGTGTTGTCTGGGTTGCTGGGCATCAACATGTCGAAGAAAACAAGTCAGTCCATCTCCAATAATGCCACTTGATCCTTAACCTGAAACCAAGAATACTACACACACAAGAGTCGCACAGCTTCTTCAATGGCTGGATTTGACCAGCCTCCAACTATAAACAGGAGAGTCTTCTCACAACATCAAGATAATACATTCTTTCTCTCAAAGGAGAGGATATTTTTAATCTAACTGGAAATTAAGGCTTTAATAAAGACACTGTCCCTTAAAATATAGACTTCAATGACCTATGTGACCATAATTGTCAGGGTATCCTAGAAATAGCCCGACGAGCCCACTAGGACAGCACACCAAATATGCATACCATTTGTTCTATCTGACTTCTATCTGATCTGAAGTGTGAACTCGTGAAATGTAATGTAGAAATGGATTACTTCAAGTTACTGCTGCTAAAGGTTCTACATGCAATTAAATCATATGGGTGTACTTATATGATCACACATGACTTTTTTTTACAGTTTTTTATTCGCTTTGGTACTATTTTCACAAGTATAAGGTGTATATTTTCAAAACTTTTAGTAAAAAAAATCAAACTGATCATACTTTTAACAGAGCTAGACATTCATTTAAAAACCCAATCTCATGCTTTCATTTTATACACATTTCAGTCCACATTATCATTGTTTCAAACACAAGATTATTGTAAAATATGAGAACGTTTGGTTTAGTCACCGAAACACAAAGCACTTTTAACAATCAGTTAATTCAATGCAAACAATGCAAGATACATGTTTCAAATCACCCTTGTTGCTGAAATAATTACACTAATACAGCCTACAGTTGCCACATTAGAAAATACACTTGCAATACCAAACTATTTACCTAATTTTAAGATGCTTAAAACCAGATTATTATTTTTTTTTAATTATATCCTGATAATTAAAACCGTAGAATTCAAAAGGGGGTCCTTTCTTTTTCACATGACTGAAATTGTAATATATGCCTAGTAAATATACTCTATATAATAACAGACAGGGTTTAGTTTTGGCACCACAGTGATGGTGATTGGCAGCGGCAGAGATTGGTGGGCTTCCGCGATTCTAGTGATCTGGATGACAATACTGAAAGTGCTTATCGGCTGCTGCTAGATGCTGATGAATCTACACCTACGCAGATCGAACATAACCCCAATCAGACCACCGGTGTCAACAAAACCTTTCTGTCAAAAGCTTCATCCCTCATTTATAGAGAATTTAATCTCTCTCCTAAACAACAATTAGTTACTGAAAAAGTGCTGTTGTGCATGGAGAGAGAGAGAGAGAGAGAGAGAGAGAGAGAGAGAGAGAGAGAGAGAGAGAGAGAGAACCATTTAGCATGTGGCAGGTTAAGTACAACATCCACCCTTAATCTTGCAAACAAGTAGTCCATGTTAGAGGAAAGGTAAGCTTTATACACCAATGACCTTTGTAATACTTTTATGTAGCTCATATGATAATGCCCTTTATCCTATAATGATCAAACTTATGATCATGTTGGCCTAACAAATGAAAAGCATTTAATGGCTCATGTCACGCAAACAACAGGCAAAAACTAGTCTCTTTCTTAATTTGAAGTTATTTAGTGTTTGTTTTATTTAGATAATATGTTATCTCTAGGCATTTCATCAACAAATTCCATTCACAACTAGGATATTCTTCATTTAATGCTGAAATAACACTAAATCACAATAAAAAAAAAATGTACTTACACATCCCTCATACACTTACATTCTTCAACACTCATTTTCAGCAATGTCAATTACACGTTTCTTTAAAAAAAATCTTATAATTAATACATGATATTTTTCAACTTACTGATATTATCTTAAAATCTGTTAAACAAAAGCACATCTGTACAGAAGAAAATACTGAAGCGAAATAAAAGAGAAAAAGCTTCTTTGTCAGGCACACATTAAACGCATAAAGTAGAAACCTGAATGACAGGATCAAGAAAAACATTAGGAATAATGCCAAGTCATACTGTAATTCACTCCTGTCTACTTTACTTTACTTATGTCAGCACTTTAGTAAAGGAGGATAATTTAATATGATGACCACAGGAAATGAAATAAAAATATATTTTACACAGACTTAAAAAAAAACAAAAGCAGCATGGACACAAACACAACATGTAATAAAAAAACAACATTTTTTTCACTTATCCATCCAAATAGAACTCTGGAGGCTGTAAGCAGCAACAGGGGCTCTCTTTGACAGAGAATATGTACATCTCTTGAGTTCACATAACTTTGAGTGAACTTCAAGGGTGCACATGCTGCAGGTTGCTAGGAGATGAAGACAGGCTGCTAAAGAGTTCTGCCTCAGGGGTTGTGGCTTGAAATTCATGGGAAAAGCTCTCGTTATGGGACGAGTCTTCTTCAACGGGTTCTATACTGTTGCCCAAGCCAGAGGATGTTGTACTGCAACAAGAAATAAATTGCCACACAAACTCAATCAGACAGGAATATTCATATTGTGCATCACAATTTTTGTACACATGCATTAAATGTAATACATCCATACATTCATTTAATCAATCTACACATTTAAATGCCCCTTTTATTTATGATATTTATGAGACAGAGGCACACACCTGTCACAGTCAGAGTCGCAGCAGGTTTTGCCGTCTTCTTGATGCGGTTCCTCCACAGGGAAACGTGCGTCGCCTATACATCGCTGGATTGCTTGTGCAACAGTGTAATGTGTCAGTCCCTGTGCACAAGCGTCCATTTTTGCAATGCTCAGTTGTGACTGCAAGAACAGGTGCAGTCGACTGTCGGACAGCAGTAATGGTGTATGTAGAACTCTATAAACACAAACAATTAAATAAAACTACATGAAGTATAATGAGTAGAAATCAGTGATGAGGATTTAAATTCTATTTAAAGAAGTGAAAAATATGAAGTGGCTGAGATAAGTGTTAAAGGTCACCCCCATGTCCTCCAAGATGTAAGGGTCTTATCAAACGAAACGATCGCTCATTAAAACAAAAAGTTTTATAAGCTCAAACGCTCACCTTGCTCTGTTCTGTGATGCACGTTCGTGACTCTGCTGTTCGAACTCGTTCATCAAAAAGAACAAATCTTTTTCCGAGTCAATTCGTTCTTTTGGTTCGTTGAATGAACCAAATGACTCGAAAAAGATTTGTTCATTTTGATTAACAAGTTCGAACAGGAGCTTATAAAAAAAATGTTTTTTTAAATGACCGATCATTTCGCTTGATCAAAAACCTAATGTCCACGTCTTTCTTTCTTCAGTTGAAAAGAAATTAAGGTTTTTGATGAAAACATTCCAGGATTTTCTCCATATAATGGACTTCAATGGGAACCAAACGGTTCAAGGTCCAAAAGACAGTTTCAGTGCAGCTTCGAAGGGCTTTAATCGACACCAGACGATGAATAAGACTCTTATCTAGGACCCTTCGAGTCATGACTCGCAAAAAGATTTGTTCATTTTGATGAACAGGTTCGAACAGGAGGGTCACGAACGCTCATCACAGAACAGAGCAAGGCGAGTATTTGTGCTTATGTAAAGCTTTATTTATTTTTTAAATGACCGATCACTTCACTAGATAAAACCCTTATTCATCGTCTGGTGTCGTTTAAAGCCCTTTGAAGCTGGGCTGCAGCTCTCATTTGGACCTTGAACCATTTGGTTCCCATTGAAGTCCATTATATGGAGAAAGTCCTGGAATGTTTTCATCAAAAACCTTAATTTCTTTTCAATTGAAGAAAGAAAGACATGGATATCTTGGATGACATCGGGGTGAGTAAATTATCAGCAAAAGTTTTTTTTTAAAGTGAACTACTCCTTTAACTGTTAATTTTGACATAGAATAAATATTAAAAAGAGAAAAGAATAAAAAGGTTTGCAATAAAACAATAATGATACAATAAAACATTGTATTGCTATCTATTTTAATTTCTTTATTTCCCATACCATTAAATATTGCAAAAATATATACTATATGTTTTATGTTTGAGTAAAACATATTTACTCTATCTAAAGGTTTACAGGGAATGTCTCTCTTTACAGCCACCACTAGATGGCAAAAATACCTTTTGATTTCCTTCATGTCTAATCTAGAATAGAATGTATTAATTGCTGAATGTACAGAATTCTTTTTTGAATTCATTTTAATCAACTTAATCATAACTCATTACCAAAAAAGGAGAGACCGTGTCAAAGAGTGACAGAAGAAACTCACGCCTCAAGAAACTGTTGCAGCCCCTGCATCCGTTGGGTGATCTGGGTGTCATTATTGAGATTGAAGAAAGGATTTCGGGCAGGGAGTTTAGGTAACTCTCTACAGAAACAAAAGACATATTACAAAGAAAGTGAGAGATTACACTCATATCCTTAACCATCAAATTTATACAGTGACTTTATGGCCACGTTTACACCTGGTGTTACACCAAGATTTTGGTGTTTTGGTCAATCGGATCACAAGCAGAGATAACTAGATGAGGGGAAAAAGCAACTTTCAGCTAAGTCTAAGACTCCGCCCTCTGTTGTGTTTTTAATGTTATGTATATGTTAATGTGGTGTTTTAATATGCTTTGAGACAACACCATTGCTGAGAAAACTGCTGGGAAAAAAGACCCAGTGTTCCTTATGCTGACAGGATTTAGCATATCATCATTATTACTATGCTTCGAAGCAGTGGGCGCTCAAGAGAAGGCAGGTTATCCATTCAAAGCATTTCTAAGGATTCCAAGTTATAAAAGGCAGCTGTCTAACTCTGAGATGGTGAAAGGGAACATAGTTGGTGTAACATTAGCAACACATTATTAACTTTGATAACGTAGTCAAGCAAAAGGCTAATTACATTAATGAGTGATACATAAAGCGCATTATATGCATCTACTTGCAGACAAGCCTGTATGAGTGAGTGAAGGCGGGACTAATTTGCATATTCCGAGTAGTATACACGTCTCTTAATTTATAGTTAGAGCAATGATGTGAACATGAGTTCTATCAATAGCTCCAACAACTCCTGGAAAGATCAATAGTATCCAGCTGCAGACCCGCAGCACCACCAGTTTCAGAACCCCAGCGCCAGAACCGAAAGTGAGGGAGGGGCGGAATTATTATTATTGCATTATAATTATTTTAGCAAGAATGTAAGGACAAAATGGGCCTGAGAGTGAGTTCCTCATTTGATACATTGTAAGTTAAATTTATACAAGATTGTTGTGATAAAACAGGCCTAGCTTGGGTTGAATTGGTCATTTTGTATAGATTTTTAACAAAACAATGCCGAATTTTCTCTCTTTTTTAGATGTTGACATTATTATTTTACACGAAAAATGCATGCTGCACATGTTCTTGTGAAATAAAGTATATTTTATAAAAAAAATACCCATGCGTTTTTTTTTTATTAAACAATCAAAATCATCTTACAAATACATAAACACAATAAATAAGTAAATAAATAGAACATAAAATATCACAGAGGTCTAATGAGTTATCAAATTGTGTATAATTTTGAAAACCTCCAATGCTTGTCTTGTTTTATATCTTTCAAAGCTTTATCATACAAAGTTAACTCCTTCATAAAAAACAAACAAACAAAGGTCTTACCTTCCTAAATCTACACGTAGGCCTATGTATAAACTGCTTAACTAAAATTATTAAACTGTTATACATTAAAATGCCCATAAGTTTCAAGTATTATTTTTTCACCATCATGATCAGGAAGTAACTGAAACGAATAACTGAAACCATATACAACTATATTACACAAAATCAATGTTTTAAAATGTTTATATATTGTACTGTAATGTAGTATCATAACATACATACGTAGAGAGTAGGACGTTTCTTGTTCAATAAAAGCTGTTTCATTTGTAAAATACCCTCCAAATTACGTTAGGTGGCGTTATTAGGTTTCAAACCTAAGCTTCGCCCCTCAGTTACGTTCCTGGCCCTGGTGTTGGTTAGAACGTAACTCCGCCCCTTACTTCAGGTTCTGGCGTTGGGGTTCTGAAACTGGTGTGCTGCGGGTCTGCAGCTGGATATATCTCGGAAAGATTGCAATCCTCATAAAGTGGCTTGCTTTTGCCACATGGTTTGAAGATCAGTTGGAAAACCAATGAACTGCCATACAGTAGTAGCAAAAAGAGTTCTAGCCTAGGAAAATTATCATCTTCATCCTTTTTCCAAATATTATTAAAAATGTGTTAAAGATTTTGTGATTTTGGTCGTCTTTTGTGGCTGTTCAAACCCTTGTGATCAGATTGATGAAAATACCAGGTGTAAACAGGGCCCTAATAAGACAAAATGCCTATGCAGTACTGACGTTTCGGTTTCAGCATTACTTTTTTATTTTAAATAAAAATATAATAATGTCCTCAAATGTACTTACATGAGCAGAGCGTTGTTCTGCAGTTTCTGCCGCAGCCAAACAAACTCACTATACCTCCTCCTCACACAAGAGGTCTTCTTTCGGAAACACATGCTATTGGTCTATAATTAAGACGAATATATTGAAACTAATGATCACATTGGTAAACATGGGGCGATGGAAAAAAATATATACACAGGGGGCAAGCAAAAATTCCATTAGAAAATCGAGTCTGATCAATAACATTCCCCAGTAACAACAGTGCAATGTAAACATGTGGGTGCTGCACTCACATGAAGACAGATCTCATAGTTGATGTACGTGTGCCAGAAATCCTCCTTGTGTACCTGAGGATCTCGAACCCATACAGTTATAAACTCCTGCAATAAGAGAAACGGTCTAGCGTTAGGCGTTTATGGTCACTGAAGTGTTTCAAATTGAACAAGGAAGTGACTCAGCAGCACAGCAGAAAGTGTGCTTGTACTTTTTCCTATTATGAGTAACAGATTTACAAGTGTTGCTTCAGGCTCTTCCATCCACCTTTCACACTAACCGGAGTTTTGGAGGGTATTTGGAATTTGTTTGTAATGTGCAATTGGAATTTCTCAAATCAACACACTATGTTGTACCACAGCCAACAAACCCATTTGAGGTCAAACAGAACACTTCCCAAAAATACCCTCTTAGACATTTCAAAGAGTTTTTACAGGAACTTACTAGCAAAACGGAACAATTTCCCACAGCCAATAAATACAAGCCATATCAATAGGCTTTATGCCAAATGTCATATGAACAAACAGGTCTCATCGTATCCGCTTGTTAGAAAAAGTGTAAACAGCTGAACTGAATGCGAAATCAATGGAAATCAGCTAACCTGGTTATTTTTATAGTTAATATCTGAATGTTAGTGAGAAGAATACATTATTTTTAGTTAATGCATGCAATGACCATTGTTTAGGCTCATCTTTGCTTGCTCCTTTGAAGACTATGGAAGAATACAGAGGTTTGTTGCACATAACCCATATTGCACCTAATCTTAGATACATTCATTAAAGTTTTTACTTTTAAATAAACGTTTGCCAAAATATAAATAATTTTGATTAAAACTAGTCTTTATAGTATTGAAAGGTTGTGAATAGTCGTTTGAAAAAATTCCAGAGAAAAGGCATGATGCAATTGCATTTCAGTTACAACATGTAATTAAAAACTTGTTTCCACCAAAGAGGCTTCTATTTTCTTTCTCTCTTACAATGATCAACATTGATCTAAAAAGGCATTGGGATAAAAAGTTCCAAGTTAAATGCTGCAAACATTTAATTTTAAAAGTAGTCTTAATTTATATTTGAATATGTGTTTTCATAAAAAATAATAATAATTTAAAAAAAAAAACAGATTAACATGAAATTTAAAGAAAACCAAGACACTGACCTTATTCACAAGGCTTGCGTTTTCCATCTCAGAGATTTGACTGGAAATAGAAGGAGACTGGTTTTGAGTGTTGGGAAATTTTAGTAGGCTACTTGGATTGTTTGGTCTAAAAATAACAACCAACAATTTTTACAGTGCCAAACCAACTGTGATTCAAGAGCTCAACAAAGGTATGAAAAAACAGTTTGATCGACCTGATACATAAATCAATGTGCTGTGCTACCAAACATTCCACTGAAGTGGTTAAGCAGCAATGATAACTTTTCTATTGAGCAACAAGTCCCAATGGGATAATGTCAGACATTAAAACAATAAATCAATCGTATCAGGAAACCCAGATATTAATTTCAAATCTTTCAATTAAATCAGGTTTTGTTTTGCTGTGCATGCTTAGTAATGGCATGCTGAGTAAGATTGAATCGTTTAATGTGAATCATAAAGCAATCAATCCACATTTTTTGCGCATCCTAAAATGGAAGTCCCATGGCATTAGTCCAAACAAACATTCCATCTGCGACCTTCATTTATACTCAAAAAATTGTTATGATTTTCACTATGATGATAACTTAATAACTCTTTAGTTGAATCCAGGACTAATTGACAGCAAGTGACCCTAAGCAAAATAGATTTATAGGCTAAGTTACTACATGTGACCACTTAGAAATAAACCACTTCAAACGAATGGCTATAAACGTTCAATGCACAGCAAAAAGGATCAATGAATAGTTTTAACATAATCAAAGATATTTTAAGAAAAGAAAAAAAGTGGTGTCATTTAAATAAAAAATAAAATAAAAAAAAATACAGTGTGGAAAAACAACCATGCGGTTAGAAAATCTCGCTGAACGGTTTGTCAACAACACAGACGTTTTCTGCCGTTTCTCTACACTACTGTTTCGTTAACATTCGTAAAGCCTAACTTGTTTATTTATAATTTCACGTCATATATAATGAGATAAACTACATTAATTTGTTATTCTCACCTTTTCTGCCACGTTTTATGCCTTGGTGTTTTGTAACTCTTCCGGCTCTTTCCAGGTGCTCATGAGAGAAAGACTGTTGTGATTAAAGTGGCGACAAGTTCGCTTGCTTGAGGGGATTCCTAGGGAAATGAAGTTTTTTTTTCCGGACTTTGACTCTGATGTGCGCATGCGCGGCTCTCAACCCTGAAATTACTTCTCACACCTACGTTTATTGTTTATGTATAATATCCTTTCTTTTGCTGTCTATGATAATATCATCAGCTGCTTCGCCGTTATTATTACACTAATAAAATATAATAATAATTAATATTATTATTATCAAATAAATATTAGGCTACAAAATATGTGCGTTGGTATTGTTTTGGAAAATTTGCCTTGATATATAGAGAAGCTTTTTATAAATATAACAGCTGTTTTTAATCTATTTTTAATTTTTAACACTGACATTGCCAATTGCTCAATAAAAAAGAAAAGAAAAGTATATTCAAAATTATATTCGAAAACTGTTCCATGGCATGGGACCAGCTCATCATTTGTTAATCCATATCTGGAAAAATAGGTTTTGCTCTTTTGAAACATGCTGAACATTCACAATGACAAGCTCCCTCAATCAGTACACCTGGAACTAAGTCACACAAAAATGGTAATGATTTAACATATTTCCATATTTCCATCTTATGACTTCATCACAAACATCCAGTGAAGATAAATAATTCCAGTTGGTATTGATGCGGGAGAAATCATTCTGAAGTTCTGCCCATATCCTTCCGGGGATCTCAGCATTAGACACAAATGCCTATAGTTTTATTTTATTTTATTTTATTTTATTTTATTTTATTTTATTTTATTTTATTTTATTTTATTTTATTTTATTTTATTTTATTTTATTTACCCGTGTCCCTGATCAGTCTGACCTGATTTTGTGTTAAATTGTGACAATGTGATGCAGGCCTTGCAAAGACAATGGAACATTGTAAAAATGGGACCAGACAGTAAAGCCACAACCCATAACCGTTATTGCTTTACATGCAAAGTCACTAGACAGTCATAGAGGTCATATACACAGAAATATTAAATAGTCTGGTATAGAAGCAAAAATGGCCACTAATAAAAAAAAATCTGGACGGAGAAATAGTATGTCTCTTTTAATCCTTTCAGTTTCATTATTAAAATCTACTGAATGTCAGAAGCCAGATCACATGACAGTCACCGCAATGTGTTGACTGCGACTAGCATATGACAAACAACTCAGCACCTCTCTTTACTGTGGTGAGTGCACAAGACCTGACATTTTCATTTGGCATTTCATTTTCAACATTTTAATTGTTGAAATGTGAAAGTGTCCAAAACGAGCCAAACAAGTGCTAGCATTGCAAAACAAATCATTTATTTTAGGTCTACAAAATAAAAAAAAATAAACATCAATGTAGCCTACATAAATAGTTGTTTCCTAATTGCATATATTTTTATTATGCATATTAATGTAATATACAGAAAGGAACTTCTTAGTTAATAACTTTATATCAAAGACGTGAAATATTATATGGTGCTCCTCAAGGATCAATTATTGGGCCACTTTTATTTTCATACATGCTCTATTTGGGTTCTATAAGCTAAAATTGATACAGAATGCAGCAGTACTAATGCAAATAAAAATGAGAGCATATAACACAAATGAACTTGGTTGCCAGTTCACCAAATGATTGATTTAAATGTTATTTTATTAGTTTATAAAAACTTTATATATTGCTGACTGTCTGTCAAGATATGTTCCAAATCATAGTTTAAGATCTGTAGTGCTGGTTTTCTGACACATTATACAGCAAATCTTAAGTGATACAGTGGCCCTTCTTTTAGCTATAAGCTCCAAAAATGTGGAATTGTTTATTAAAATTAAACCCAAGAGGCTATAGCATTCATTTTTAAAAGGCATAAGACATACAGCATCGTTTTTTAAGTTGCTAATGAGTAATGGATATTGTGTAAACGTTTGTTCTGTGTCTTTATTTTAGTTTTATAGTTGTTTTTGATTATTTGTATATATGTGTGAAATTGTATTTGTTTTTATACTTGTGAAGTCTTTTGCATTCCACGTATGAAAAGGGCAATACAAATAAATGTTTTCTATTTAAAATCCATGATTCTGCACATTGCAGATTTATCGATTACGATAAAAAAAAATGTTATTCTAAACAATAGCACATTTACTGACGTAGGATTTAAAACAGCTAGAAAGATTTGAGGTTCGGTTTATTTTAGATTTATCAGATTTAGCATATTTCATTTATTTTTATTAGGGCTGTGCAAAAATTAATTGCGATTAATCGCATCCAAAATAAAAGTCTGTGTTTACATAATATATTTGTGTGTGCTGTATATAATTATTTTGTATATATAAATACCTATGCATGCATGTATATATTTAAGAATTGTTTGCGCTTAAATTCTGTTTATATAAATAAATACATAATCTATATTATATAAATATAAATATTTTATTTATGAATAACACATTTTCTTAAATATATACATGCATGTGTGTGTATTTATATATACAAAATAATTATATACAGCACACACAAATATATTATGTAAACACAGACTTTTATTTTGGATGCGATTAATCGCAATTAATTTTTGCACAGCCCTAATTTTTATATACTTTCATATTTGACATATTAGTTTTTACCATCCATTGTCTTGATCCTCCATGTGCTGAAGTGCGTGACTGGTTTTCAGTGGTTGGCTGCTTGCAGAATTCCTCTCTGGTAAGAGCTGATCGTTCTGCTGCTGTCCCGAATTCTCAGGTTTATTTGTTGACATAGTCTATCACATTCAGATTTTCTTCAGCTATGCAAAAAAAAAAAAAAAAAAGAGAGAGAGAGACTTATGTTCCACTTTCATTAATAATTAGATACCTGCACACGTTTGAAGCATTAAGACCCTGCTTCTTTAATTTTGAAATTGTACTTTTCTTACCCTGTCTGGGAAATCCTATTAAATGGGAAATAACTCATTTGCAGCATGCCTTGACACACTCAGCAGGCGAGTAAGTTTACGTCACTGTTTTCTGACTGAAATATATGTAAGGGGAAGGGACAGCCCCATCAGGTGGGGCATGAAGTCAAAATTTAAGTTGTGTAACTTGAGATCTCTGTTGTTTTTGACATCCCCCCCTCAACAACGTGTTGGTTTCCCCAAAGTCATTTTTCACAGAAGCATTTTCGGCTCTGCGGGGGTGTTAAAATCGCCTGATGATTGTTAATAAAGTGTATCTACAAAATATAACTAATTATGTTGTTTTATATTGCTAATTTACTGAAAGGTCCAGTAGGGTGGGAAGCTGGACTTTTACCTATCAATACCAAAGACTGTGTCATAATGCAGTCCACCACTGTGAGACATCTCAACCACAACACCCAAAAGGATTTCCTAATTCAGAAATCAGTAAAGTACTTGTGACCATAAGGATATATATATTGGATTGTACCCTTGTTACAGAGACACTCCAGACTGTCTGTCAAAATGTTACCTAACATAAGGATTAAGCCGCCAGAGTACACACATACGTGAGCCAACCAGTGTGCAGTTATTTTGTTTTCTTATTATGCCTGTAAAGTGTATTTTCAGTTTGTCATCTGACCTGCTTGTTTCAGGATGACATTACAAAAACAGGTTCTTGAAAGGAAAAAGCCTCAGAACTCAAAGTCCATCTCTATACCGCTAATCTTTGTCATGAGACCTGCAACCAGCAAAGCAAATGGAAGGCTAATAAATGTCTCTTCTGTGGTCATAATCCTTAGTTAGTAGGCAGTGAGGTTACAGACGTGAGGCAGCACTTTTCACTTCTCTTGTTTGTTTCAAGATATCATCACCAAATAAGAGTCATATATATGGTGCATGAGTGCTTTTTCTTAAATTATTTGCATATCAGAAGCCAAATTACAGATATTATTATTATTTTTTTTTTAATATCTGGCACCACCTGCATCCCACGTCTGATAAAGTGAGAACATGAACTCGTGAACTCTGACGGCAAGAAAGTGATGAGGTCAGGAATCAGGATCTGTATTGGTCTCATTGCTTTTCCATAGTTAACGGACCACTTCTGTGTATTTTAGATACACATTGTAAATATTTAACAGATTCCAGCTGATGTCTTGAAAAGCAATTACTGATTGTCTGATTGACACTCTGAAAACCTCTGAAAGACAAAACGAGCAGAAGTGTAATGATTATGACTGGAAAATTTACTAAATTGTGCAATTAAACATTTCAAAGTAATTCGTCACTGTGATTACAAAAATGTGGATTTTTTTTTATCTACTTCCTAAATTCTCAAATGACTGTAGATAAGTATTTTGTGCTCTGAACAGATCACAAAAGACAAACAGGAAAGGCAACCAGAAATCTTAAAAAAAAAAAAAAGCAAACCACAATTCTGTTGGAGACTATTCAAATGAAAGTAACATACTGACAAACTCTTAACTTTTTGCTAAAGACACCTTATTCCAATAAAGATAACAAAAAGAACAAAATTCAATACAGAAGAGGTTACCCAGAGTGGAAGCAAATGCATTGCAAAATAAGAATGGGGAAAAGGCTCTTTCTCATTCTTAATTACCAATTGGTAAGGTCTATTTAAAATGTAGACTGTGTAACTTGGTACTAACCGCAAGCAACTTGTGGAAGGACATGGTAGATGGAGCTACTTCTTTATGTAGATGACGAGTCAGGCAAGTACTGGACCACTCAGCATAGTACCTTTAAAATCCATTATTACTGCAAAACAAATTTGAACTACAAGACAGCTGTGGCACTTGTTCTGTGGTCATTCTGTAGTTTTTACAAAGCTACTCCCTACCATGACAAAGAATTAAAGCAGGCAATGGTAAACAGATGTTTTGTGAATGTTAGGAGGTTCCCCTATTTAATACAAAGATAACCATCTATTATATATTTGTCCAAAGAGTACATTTGAGTATGCTTAATAGCAGTTCCAAAGTTTGTCAAACACAAGAACAAAAGTCAAGCCACTCAATTGACATGAGGTGGAAAACAGCTCCCTATAACACACCCCTAATAAAAGCACTTTGCATGCCAACAGCCCCAAATAACCATGTTTTGATCAAGTAACAGTAGTAAAGACTTCAGTCATAAATATCCAACAAAACATCTGCTTCGGATATTCAAGACACATCATGCAAGAAGATTAAAAGCAGGCATATAGACCTTTATTGAACTAAAAAACGCAATATTTACACAAACATTTACATAAACACTTCCATTATTCATGTAAACAATAATTAAAAGAAAAACTACAACGATAATGACAACCAAAAGAAACTATGAACATGATTACAAAGCATGAGATGAGTGGAGAAAGAAAAAAGAACAAAAAAAAACAAGCCAGTGCATTAATGAAAAACAGCACTGTTGTAACACCAAGTTCAAAAAAACAGTCAAAGCATCCTATATAGCAAGTTTTAAAAACACTCGTCTCATTTGCACATATTTTCATTGGTTCACTACAGTCATGCACATAGCTTCCAACCAAATCTCAATACATTTAAAATTCCTCCACCATCAGACTCTCAACACTTCTGCTAATACCGTACAGGTGGAGGACACTAACGTATGGTTTAATTCGATTTGGGGTGCTACTGCTGCTCATCCTCAGGACAGGAATGCCAAGTTAGTCTTTCCTCATAAAAGGCGATGACTATCTGTGGGCAACGGGTGTTAGCCTCTCGTGCAGGCACCAGGTCCGCCTCATCAGAGTCCTTCCTGTAAACAAAACATATCTCTGGTTAGAGTGCTATAAGATGAAACAGACTCCATAACATGACAATTAGAGCTTTGCTGCCCCCTACAGGCCTTTAGAAGCATCTTAAATTGATTCATGCAAAAGCAAAAACACTAATTCCCATGTTGTTCCAAACCAGTATGACTTCTTCTCTGGAAAACAAAGACGTGATTGGGAGGGAGGGGAATTGTGTTTTTAAAAAGAAATTGTGTAAAAAAACAAAAACAAAATAAAAACGACTTTATTCAACTATTCATTTCCCTCTCTATGGGCCATGAGAGAGTTCACATAGTGCTGTGCTCTCGTGGCCCACAGAGAAGGAAATGAATAGTTGAATAAAGTCTTTTTTCTGCACAAAAAGTATTTTCGTCGCTTGATAAACTTAAAATTGAGCCACTCTGACTATTTTAAGGAGGTCTTTTACTTTTCTGGGCTGGCCAGTTTCGATCCCTTAGAAGCCTAAGGTGGAGTGATCCAGCTCTCGGATTTGATCAAATATCTTATTCATTTTGGGGTGAACTAATCCTTTACGGTTATGGTCTCATATCCAGTAAATTAACATAGAAAACCATGCAAGTTTTACCACTTCATGAGGAACATGAGCTCCCCACTGCTGTCAGTCGCTCCAATGATCCTCTCTGGCTCAAGGTTTCTTGCAAACCCTCTTGGCTTGTCAGACTGCAACAAAACATCAGTTTTAGCAATAAGAACAAATGATAAAATCTTTTACACCTGCTAGATAAGCGTCTTCATGGAACAAAACTAATAAATTGATGACCAACACACAATCTTACCATTTCCTTCTTTCTCTTTGCCTTGCTCTCCTCGGTTTCTGGTTCATCGGTGGATGATTTTCTTTTCACAGCTTCTGGTTTCTCCACCACTCCTTTCTGAGCCTCCAGGTATGCAGAAATCAGTTCAGGACAATCTAAATTTTCTTCAGGCTCCCAGGTATTGTCAGCACTGAAGAAAACATTAGCATATCGTGTTACTCATCACATGCAGCAGAATTTATTAATAAAAATCCCAAGCAATCATTCATCTCATTATACCTGTAAGAAATCAAATGACGTTTAAAAATTACTCACTCTGTGAAGCCTTTCCACTTGAGGAAAAACTCTACTTTTCCATTGACCACTCGCTGGTCCATCACCTTCTCCACCACAAACTCCTCCACTTCTTGAACATCTTTCTTTGATTTGCTTCCCTGCTTCTTGCCCATGTCGACCTAAAACGTACAAAAGACTCAGAATCAGGAACCTGATTAGAGATTAACTAATTTAAAAGGCATGTTCCTTTAAAAATAATTGCCACATTTATGACTTGCACAATAATGCTAAAATGGCTATTGTTTGCACATTTAGCTACAGAAAGATTAACGTTAGCTCAAGTCCGTTCATGAATTATCTTTGACATTAAGAATCTACGAATACAATAAACGTTCAAACTAGATGACGTTAGTTATGTGGTAACTTACCGTTTATGTGTGCTAACGTAAGTAACGTTAGGCTATGTTAACGCACAAACTACGCACGCATGAACAGGCCACAGGCACGAACGCAGTTTAAACTACATTTAGGGTTTATTTTTTCATTATCAATACTACATAAATAATTGTGTTGTCCGAAATAACGCCTGGCTGTTTCACAAAATTGTTGCTTGATAAATATTCGCTAAAACACGCGCTGGCTTTAGATAAAGTCAGCCAGTTAGCTTAATCGCTAAGTTAGTTGAAAACACACAAACAAACCAACAAAAACACAGCAATAACATATGAGTGTGTTATATAATATTGAGCACGGTACATCCATGCAAACTGAAACGATTAAAGGTAATAAAAAATATTTAAGACAAAAACGTTTTGCAACAAATGAGGTAACAGCAAACTACAATGAACGGCGCAGCAGCACGAGAAGCATGCGCGGGAAAACTCACCCTCACAATGGAAAAGGATCAAGATGTGATTTACAAATCTTTACGCTTCTCGACCTGCAAACTACAGCGGCGATGTATCGCACTTTAACGAGACACAAACTTTAAAAACGTTTGCCCTCTTAGTGCACTATAAATCAATAGAAGAGAAATCGACTGAGGCTCGACGAAGGCCAGCCCGAATCGTACGCGAGGACGTAAAGCCACGCCTACGACTGGTCACGTGTGTCCAATGAGGGTTTTTTTTTTTTTTTTTTTTTTCAGAAGGCGGGGCAACCGTGATTTAATTCAGTACGTAGAGAAGTGGGCTTTATGCACAGCTGCACTACTTCCTGAACTTCAGCCAGCTCATTGTCTCCTGTCTGATATTATTGGACAAATTGATTGATCCAGGTGTGTCTGACCTCAGTAGCAACGGCAACAATAATCAGACACACCTGAATTAATCAAGTTTGGCCAATAATGGCAGATAGGAAACAAGGAACTGGATTAAGTTCAGGAAGTAGTGGGGCTGTGCATAAAACCAATCTGATATCAACTTTAAGATCCACACACTCTTTAAAATTTAAAAGTAGGCTATATTATTAATCTGTTCGTTCATTGTATAGTTTTACATCCAGATTGTGAACAGCACACATACTCTTTGATGAAAGACTGATTGCATTCCTTGATTTAAATAACTGAGTGCAACAGTCTGAAAGTATTGAAATGTATAATGCACTTCAGATTGTTCAAAATTGTCACACTTAAAGAGATTCTATATGGAAGACAGCCCATTCCCACCATGGACATTCCTGTGAGTATCTTCAAATAGTGCTGATGTCAGTTATATTGCATCTTTTTTTGTGTATGTTTGTTTTCCAAACTCATTTGGAATACTGCAAGTCAATTAATTAATTAACATTAATTATTATTTTTTTGGAACAGGGTTAAAAACACTTTAACAAATCCCTTGTAATCTGACCTAAAAAAAATATATCAAACTGACCTAGGCTATACCGACGAAGAGAAGATCTTCAATTTATAAGTATACATAAAGTTTGTGTTTTGTTGTTTTGACACATGTTGTTATAATACACATAATTTACACATATTAAACAAAATTTTTGCACTCTTCTGGATTTAGGATTGAAAACTATTCCTGGCAGTAAATTCAGAAGACATTAAAACATATTTTAAGATGTCATATTTTATTCCCTATCCGAACCATGTTGAAACACACACTGCCATTGTTTAGCCTCAAGATCCACACCATTTTTTCCCCCGCATGTTTAAAAAAGCTACTTAAATATGCTAATTTAACTAAGGCCTACTCTCCTGGCTCAAGTCCCGTCGGTGAAACCAGGCCACTATTTCCTAAATAGCCCTTAGCTAATGTATCGATTTATTTGTCTTTAATCACACTATGTTCTGGCACCCATAAAAAAAAACTAATCCACTAATCAGTTGGATTCAGTTACACAGTAAAAACACTGTTGGTACATTATTGTCACTTGTTTATGAGGGACCTATTATCTTTTTTAGAGCCACTTAAAGTCACTATGAAAGTATGTAAACAAACGACCAGTATTTTGAACATTATTAAATGAACTTTTTTTAACCTTTGTCCCATATAATGCATTTTCCCTTTCATCAGCACAAATTCAACATTTCAAAATCCTTAATTTAAAAAAAAAACAATTCAACCAGTGCATGTTATTGCCACCAACTTTATATTGATGATTATGTTTGTGTGTTGTTTGCATTCAGGCCAGAGAGCACGAATTTAGTCTCATTATGCCACACAACATCGTCAAGTACAACCCTGTAACACTGTAGATTACAGCCCGGAAAGTACTGCGTAATTAAAGTAATTTTACAGTGTAACTTTCGGTAATTATAGTGTAGGCTACCAATAAAGTATTACGTAAGGGAACAATATGTAAAGTTTGGGAAATAAAGGGATAACAACCAGAAGAATTAAAAAAATATCTATACTGTGAGTATTATATAACTAAGGGGAACTTATTTTGCTATTATGATACAACAATCTCACATTTGGAAGCAAATTAGCAATACAATGCATGCCTTTTTGTAATTATGGTGTAGCAATACATATTTTGTAGACTTTTTTTTAAATTATAGGGTACATATCTATGCATTTATTCTGTAATCTTTTTAACGAAAGTGCACTGACAACTAAAACTATTGCAACGTTTGCTTAAATATTGGGGAAAGATGCTCTTGTTTCATTAGTGATGCTTGTTACCCTCTTGTTTTATGTAGTTACAGGGCAAGTACAACACAAATAAATACACATCTTATATCATTGACTCAGGAAACTTTTATTTGAAAAACAACTTAATTCACTTATAATGCAAGCTCATGTGTTCCTAAAAGGTGGAGCATCAATACTGCTAATAACTGCATTAATCCATTCGACCCCAATGGATAGATAAATGTCAAGGGCAACGATAAGTGTTTGTAAGAAAAAAAAATTAAACTTTAGACTATCTCTTCAGACAAACTGTAATAAGTTGTTTTTCAAATAATGTTTCTGTGATATTAGATATTTCAGTGATAGTAGATTATGTGTATGTATTTTTACTTGCCTTGTAACATGGGAAGAGAAGCCGAGGGTAACAAACACCACTTTAATTTACGGCCCGAAATATCACACTTACCCTGTAACTACTTGAAACAAGAGGGTAACAAGCACGTATGTTTTTTTTTAGCACCACCACTCTATTATTTCCCAGTTTTTTTTTAACTGTTTAAATAGATAGATATGAAGAGTTCAGATGCAAAAGCCTCTAAATGCCATTTGAAATTCTCTTCTAAAATGACCATTTTTATCAAGCTTGTATATACAAGTTCAGTAATTTCACTTAAATAACAATTAATAGGTAATCTTCATTGTCATTTAAGTGAAATCACTGAACTTAAATATACAAGCTTGATAAAAATGATCATTTTAGAAGAAAATTTCAAATGGCACTTAGAGGCTTTTTGCATCTGAACTCTTCATATGTACCCTGTATTTTATAAAAAGCCTACAATGTGTATTGGACAACATTAGGCTATTACAAAAAGGTACGCAGTGTATGTTCTCGCTAAATTGCTCGCAAATGTAATGCTCCCAAATCATAATAGTAGAATAAGTTCCTCTTAGTTATATAATTATTCCAGTATAAAGCATTTTTTAGTTCTCCTGGTTGTTACCCCTTTATTCCTTTATAACCTTACATTTTGTACCCTTATACTTACATGTAAGTACTTTATAGGTACACTATAACACTGTAAATTACACAGTACTTTCCGGGCTGTAATCTAAAGCGTTACCTTGTGCACTATTAACAATTTGTGCAGTTTAAAATTTAGAAAACAGAATTAAGTTTGACACTGCTTTATTAAATTCAGCATTGCATCTATGATCCATAAAACAAAAATACAATTAAAAGAATAAACTCGTCACCAGTAACTTCATTGTCCTCCTTTATTCGTTTTAAAAGATATAAAAGAGCTAGATTTTGAATATCCCTGTTTAAAGTTAAAGGTATTCCAACCCCTTTCAAACACATACATAAAAAAAAAAATTGCTCAAAAACACACAAAATAGAAAAACCGAAGAAATAAAAAGAGCGAGAGAGAAACACAAATCAAACCACTCTGCCAATAAAGGAAGAAAACATGAGGATCATTTGCTTGGGCCCAGAACTTTTTATGCTAATTCACTAATAGCTGATGTAGTACTTGCCTTTTCCAAATTATAACCGTGCTATGAGGTAGACCAAAACTTGTCAATTCTGTTTTTTTTTTGTTTTGTTTTACTTTCACTTCACTTCAGAGATAACCACTTCTATATGTATATTTAATATGTGACGGTGTGTAAAAAATAAAAAGGACAACCAAGTTGAAAACATAACTGCAATCCAACCTTATAAAGCCTTTATAAAAAGCTATTAGAACGCATTATAATTGTTCTTGTTAGGCAAGTGCATAAATGTAATTTGACAGTAAAATAATATACAGGAACAGTTTAAGCAGCGGGATCCTGTTTGTCATGAATAAAATCACATTATTTTAACTGTGTATCGTTTTATTTATCTCAGTGGCGAGAAAAACATAAATCAAGGTGTGAAGGAGACCGCAGCGGTCTTTTTGGATGGAGGTTGTATTTTATTAATGTTTGCAAACGGTTTGAATTGAATTTGGGTCATTTCTGTGGGGTTCGTGTTAAAAAGAGAGTTCACCCAAACATTTTAACTCAACCTCATATCATTCCGAACCTGCATGCTTTGTGAAACATAAAAGATGACAGAAAATGACAAACAACATTGGACTGATTTTCATTGTGTTCTGCAGGGAAAAAAAAAAAAAAAAGTAATACAGGTTTGGGCCGACATGAGAGTGAGTAAATGACCATTTTCATTCATGGGTGAACTATCCCTTTAAGCTCTATCCTGCGAGAAATAGCGAGGCACACTTTTTAACATGGTCCTCCAGTGACCATCTACAAACATTCTTTACTTAGTAACTGGTCATTTAAATGAACAGTTAAAGAAAAGCAAAATAGGTGCTCTTTAGAAATACACCTTATACGAACTCTTACTATACACAACATCCAGTGTTTTCAGTACATTCTCTCCAGCAAGCGAACAAGGCTGCTCCCAACCATAAGTGTAGTATTTTTACAGTATTCTTTTTGCCCTCCACTTGAGTTACGAATGGCTTTTAGGAACAAAGAAGAGCCAAAAATGCTCCAACACATCTTGTCTCAAGGATAAAAACTCGCCTTTCAGAAAACAAAAATATTTGTTTGTAAACACAAACACATGCGCACACACACACAAAGTTCCTTAGGGCTTCTTGACCTTCTTTCTCTTCACTGTCTTGCTACCAGCCATTGTCCTTGACGTTGTGTTTGTGCGGGGCTGAACCATCACCCGTCCGTTAGCACTGCAGTGCAGCGTATAGTGCTCAGGGTTCAGAGGATGTCCATATTCATCCCGGATATGACTCAACACTGTCCTCGAGAGCGCCTCGAAATGTTCAGCGGCTGCAGAAAGTGACTTGGCTGTGTGGGCTCTCTGGCGCAGAAGAGCATCTCGCTGCTCCGCAAGGCCCTCAACCTCACCCTGCAGGCCCAGGATCGCATCCAACTTCCTCTTGCGGCAATTCTGAGCGGCAAGCTTGTTTTTACCTCTTCGCCGCACATCACGCAAGAGTGTGACTTCTGATCCTGAAAGATTCTGCCTGTCAAGCAACTCCAGGAAGTTTTCTACAGGCATGTTGACAATCTGAAAAGCTGAAAATTGAAGACCCAACGCCTGCACCCGACGTTCGTCGCGACTTATCTCTTCAGGTTCAGATTCATCTTCGCTCATCACTTCCTGTTTGATATTTGTGATCCAGCTAGACGGTGTGGAATTTTGAGCCTGTGGGGCTGAGTAGGTATGATCATGCCAAATGTTGTCATGAAGGTTCACAGGCGACCAGTCACGGTAAGCAGCTGCACAAGCGCCGCCTTTTGAAGAAAGAGACTCTACTTCACTGCTATAGCCTGTAGCTCCACCCTCATCCTCGCAAAACGAATCGGACGTAGTAGACGGGGACGCGGCGCTCCTAGAACTGCTCTCCAAAGACAGCCCAGAGTCTGAATCCTCCAGCCATGGTGTGTCCATCTCACTTTGCATGCCATCCAGCATCTCAGGGTCGATCGTGCCAAGATTACCCAGATCCAACATGTTGATGTGCTCAAAAACAGCCTCATCTAGAAAGCCTCCCATCTGCGTAGGGGAGGTTTCATTACGAGAGCTGTTCCCGGACAAACAGAAGAGCGATGAAGGAATTGGCCCTGCTGAGGTCTGAGGTGGGATTGAGTGAGAAGAGTTTGTGGATTCCAGACGGAAGAGGGGTGCTCGGGAAGATGCGGGCCTGCAGTTCGCTGAATCTCCCCTGGTTACCATGGCATCTTGAAGGCTTACATCATAGCTGATGGGATTAGGAAGGTCGGCTTCTAAATCTGACATGTGTTGGGGGACCATAGAGTCAAAATTCTGTAATGGAAGGGGAAAATATTGTCAATGTAAACATTTTCAAAATTCTTATTCAGTGCAAATGTGCACAACAAACGAGAATTAGAAAAAGAGACCCATAGAGATGGCCCATAGTTTTAAAACTAATGTATTGGTTTGGTATTGTAATGGCGCTTTTCCATTACCAGTACCAGCTTGACTCGACTCGCTTTTCGCTACGTTTTCTATTGCAGACAGTACCGCCACAAATAGAGCCCGATCGTTCCTCTTTGCCCCATCAAGCTTTTGCTGGATCCTCTCTTCGGCAAACCAAACAAAGGAAAGTCTGCATCTCCTCTTTTGACCACGGCGTATTCTTCCGATTTGCCATAATATTAGTAGTAAGTTTAGTAACTACTGGCTAAACTATTTTAAAAATGGCGGGGTTATTCTGGATACTCCATCTGGCATGTGCAATGATGATGCAGTGAATGGTAACGATTCTCTCTGACCAATCAGCAGCATTGTTTTCACGTCACGTTTAGTATCGCCTCAGCTCGTTCAGAACCTGATACAAAAAAAGTACCCGAAAGCAGGTACAGGAACAAATTTTACAGAGTGGAAAACCAAACAAAGGCGAGTCGAGCTGGTACTGTGTAGAGGAAAAGCGCCATAAGTTATTTTTTGTTAGGAGTATTTCAGTGTCTACTAACAGCATTGGATGCATAATGGCCATTTTCAATGAAAAATAAAAGTGTTTTTTACAAAAAAATAAAAAATAATTCAAACTTACAGTAACTGTAAAACACTTAGAAGTAAATGATATGAGTCATATTTTCGGTGGCAATCATTCTACCATAACTGATGTCGATATATTTGTACTGAAAGATTAATATTCCCTTAATCTTGAATGGAGGACAAAGCATCCACACTTACATCAAACTCAGAGAGGAAGTCCTGCCACTGTGGAGGAAGCTCAAGCCCAGAAAGAGGTGGAGGAAGGGTACTACTCAGCAAATCCTGGAAAGAGAAGTAGCAAAAAAATAAAGTTAAAAAAATAAATAATTAACATCTCACTCCATCAAGAGTTAATATGGAGTTTAATGACCACAAATATAACAACCATAACCAAATTTAACTTTTCTCATTCATCAGTTCACTAAATTCCTGTTATGTAACATTATGCAATAATTTCAGGATCCCACAATTTACCCATTCGTTCCAGCCTGTGTCCACTTTTGTGTACTTAAAGAGATACTCCACCGTTTTTTTCATATTAACTAAGACGAGTTGATGCATACCTCTGTCGTCTCAGTGCGTGCACTCAATCGCTCTGGTGCGTGAGACACTTTGATCGCACTTAACTAGCCCAGTTCATTCAATATGGGCCAAGCAGAAAAGTGACCAAACACATCCACGTTTTCCCTATTTAAAAACAGTTACTCGAGCAGTATAACACGGTGACACAAAATAAAACGTTGCGCTTTTCTAAGCGTGTAAAATGGATAACTATATTAAGTGCTTGGGAGCACTTCGACTCGGCGCAGAAATATCATCACTCGGGAAAATTCCTCCCCCCCTTACTCTCCGGAGTGATGATATTACTGCGCCAAGTCCATAGATAGATTTGCGCTGAGTTGAAGTGCTCCCAAGTTGGAGATTTAGCTGTTCCATGTCAACCTTTCTCACTCGTTGGGACAACTAACCTATGCCACTCCACACCATACATGATGCTTCAATGTAGCCTGAGAAACTTTTCTCTATTTACAGATATGACAAGAAATGCACTGACGTGTGACACAATTTCCTGGGAAAACCACCCTATCGGCTCTAAAATATAAACACTTATAATCGGCTTACCACAGTAAATGAGGGTAAGACAAAAACATGTTTTGAAAGAAGGATCGTTTTAATTTTAACGCAAAAAAAGTTAGGCAGTGGACCTTTAAGTTTTACATCGAACCGGATAGACACACCATTCTTGTAAGACAGGTAGTAAAGTTTGTTTACCTCCTGCTCTAATGCTGAGCTATGAGTCAGCTGGTTCAGTGAAGCAGGGCTGGTTTCCTCCTGCCCTCTCTCATCTTTCTCATCCTCCTCCTCATTCTCTTGCTTCAGTAAAGTTTCCTGGAGAGAAAAGAAACATAAAATATGATATGGTGATTAAACAGTACATTTAAGACTACTTCCAAGAGAGAAAAGAAATACTCCATAAACTATAATGCACCTGTTTAGGACAAATGTATTTCTCTGCTACTCATTTAATAGATTAAATTTATTCAAAGAACTTTATGAATTTTACTCTTACCTGTGTTAGTTAGTTAAAAGGAAGAACTGTTTGCATAACATGCACGGTTTAAAAGGTGGCTCTAGGGAGAATACATGACTTAACGGATTTCAGAAACTAGAACTGTCAATACATGATCAAGTTAACAACGAACATTACAGAAAGACAGGTTTGGGCTGGACCAACTGGTAATTTACCACTCCAGGCAAACTATTACAAAACAAACGATTTGACCATTAAAAAGAAAATATTTTATAATATAAACATAATGTAATTTATTTTATAACACTGTACTTTGACAATAGTTTTTTTGTTTTTTTTTAACCATACTAACGTTAGGGACGTTTAAACCTATGGTTAAAATGTGACGTTTGCCTGACGCACCTGTACACCTAGTTGCCATGGAAACAGATATTTAAACTAAGTGAACAGAAAAGTTAACTCTAAAACACGATTTTATTTCCCCACAAAGACTTCCACAGTAAATTGCTGATGAAAAACAACGTGACGTTAAATAAACAAAATCATAGCATAAAGATCAGAACAGATCAATTCAAACAAGTCGATCTAATTTGACAATATCTTTATAACACCATTTAACGTTAGTATTATTAAACTGGTTTAACGTGACTCCATTATTGATAGGATATGTCACTTATTGTTTCGCTTTCGCCTAACGTTAGATGCTCACGAGTGCAAAAACACCACTTGCCATGAAGCTAACAGGCTAACTCAGCAAAATACAAACACCAACTACTGAAAGCTGTTCACACGTGGCCCCGTGTGTGTGTGCCCCGTGATGAGAAACAACATAATGTAACTGGTTAGAATGGAAAGGGTGTAATAATGCACTGCATTGTTACCTCTTTGGAAAGTTCACCAGCTGCACAGCAAGGCCTTGAAACGGTGCAGTCCTGAGATACTGACCGTCCGAAGACCTCTCCAGTCCTGTGATCGCCCTCTTCCCGATGATTTTCGGTATTTACGTTCTCGTCATCAAGGTCCCCTGACAGGTCGTGTGGCTCACTGACATCGGAACCCTCATCAGGCACCAGGTGCACCAACCATGCGCTGACATGCGTGGGGAAGCGGGCCGGGGACCCGAGCGCACGCACTTCATTCAGCAGCCTGCGGCTGGTGAAAAAATAGTCCAGCTCGGTAGATTTTGGATGCACTTGATGGCCCGCCGCGGTGTCCCGATAGTGGTGAAAATGGGTCTGCATAAAAGCCGAGCTCGGCCCTCCGTCCGTTTCTATCAACGGCGAAAAGTAGCCGCTAAAGTAAGTGTCGACATCCACGCGAACACCTATCAAACTAAGCAGAATCGTAAACTGAATGAGTCCCTCGGTGAAATACTTCTTCATATGATGCATGTTTCAAAACAAATATTTCAACCTCGTGAGGCCAGAACGAGAACAAAGATTGCCCGTTTGCAGTTAAACAAAGACAAAATCCTAAACAAAAGAGCACGCGTTGACTACTCTCTGTGTCAGACAAAGAGCAGCCCCGACCGGCGAAACTGTTCGCTGCACTTACACTACCGGCTTTTCATAATTTCCGGGCCTATAACATCCCAATGCGGAGATAGTGCCTTCCTCTAATGTCTCAAAACACAAGGAGTCATTCTCATCTAATATATTCTGTAGCGAAAGACAAAATGAAACTTTTTTATCTTACTAAAAGAACAATAAAAGTCCCCGGCTATCCTGAATCGAGCCTCTCATCCGAGGAGGGGAACAACTGCTCAAATTTGCATAATTCATCAAATCCCACTCACATGCGACGGAATTACCTTCGCAACAAGCTCTGATTGGGCCATTTCTGTTGTCGTTCATTTGAAGAGCCAATCCCAAAGAGACATGCTTTTGTCGCTACCGTCTATGGTCGCTACCCAGTGCCTCTGTCGCTTCCTAACCCTTTCCTCTCTTGGATAAAAAAAGTAATCTTGGGAGTTACAGACAGACAGACAGACAGACAGACACTGTAATTGTGGTATTTAATCTTTTCCCATGGACAGTTACATGTAACTCAGCAATGACATCTACGTAAAACACTTGTTTTATATAATGTATAATAATATAATATATATACACACACACACACACACACACACACACACACACACACACACATATATATATATATATATATATATATATATATATATAATATATAGGGCTGTGAAACAATTAATCGAGATTAATCACATCCAAAATAAAAGTTTGTGTTTAAATAATATATGTGTGTGTAGTGTGTAATTTTTTTTTGTATATATAAATACACACACATGCATGTATATAGGCCTATTTAAGAAAAATGTGTTATTAATATATCAAATATTTATATTTATGTATGATATTAAATTTGTATATACATATATAAAGTATATACATGCAAATATTTCTTAAATACATGTGTGTGTATTTATATATAGAAAATAATTATACACACTACATACACATATATTATTTAAACACAAACTTTTATTTTGGATGTGATTAATCGTTTCACAGCCCTAATTATATTATATTATACAAAACAAGTGTTTAGATGTCATTGCTAAGTTACATGTAACTGTCCATGGGAAAAGGTTAAATACCACAATTACAGAGCATGATAATCTGTCTGTCTGTCTGTCTGTCTGTCTGTCTGTCTGTCTGTCTGTCTACCTCTATCTATCTATCTATCTATCTATCTATCTATCTATCTATCTATCTATCTATCTATCTATCTATCTATCTATCTATCTATCTATCTATCTATCTGTCAACACAGACAATACAATACAATTTTTTTACATAAAAACAAACAAACAAACAAACAAACAAACGAACGAACGAACGATAAAACAAACGTGTGTTGCACAGTTTGTCCCATTGAAATTCAAAACGTATTATTGTAATGCACAGACTCTTAATTGTTGTGAATTTGTTCTTCAGACATTCAATAGCACAGTCGCATTTGGTCTGAGAGATATTTGCAATGATTAAAAACACTTTCAGGAGATAAAAACATGCCACAGGTCGGACTCCAAAGGACTAAAGTAATTTAGTTCATCCTTCTCCGCCCTCTACTGTTTAAAAGGGGAAGTAGGCTAAACACTATTTTATCTTGATTTGGTAGCTGTTTTCTGCTCTGAACAAGTGATTATTAAGAGGTGGTGAATCGCAGTGCAGATTATGGTGCATTTCAGTCTCAGATATATTTTGTGTTAGTTATCACTTCAGAAATCCAGATTATTTTACTGTGGATGTGATTCTATAATATTAGGCTACTATTGAAATTCATGCAAAAAAGAGAAAGGAGGATTTATTTACATGATCATGTAGCTATTTGGTATTGTGTAGTTTTAAAATTGCTATAAGCTGACAATAAGAAAGAGGGAAAAAAGCAACAGCAGCAGCAGTAACAACAATAATTATTATAATTATAGCTAATGAAAGACCTCAGCTCAGGATCTTTTTTATTCCATCTTCTGATCTTCTTGTAAATACTGACATGACGTAAAATCCTTCATCTGAGATCTTACGTAATCTTGCCATCAAACTGTAAATCGACAATTGTTTGGAAAAAAATATATACTTGCATTGTGTTATAACATTAATGCTCGTTCACAGCCCGGACAGCCTTTAACATCCCCCAGCTTTGTCCAATAAGGTGTTATCCTTTAGAAACTTCAGCTTGGCAGTGAAATGACATAATCGTGCGGTGTGTGTGTTACAAAGTGACTTTCGTAGTTTGGCATTTCTGTGAACTCTCCCATTTAGGCTAAAGAGAAAATGGGGAGGAGCTAGAATCACACTAACACTCACTCCCTTATTTGATTTCTCATTGGTGACAATCATTTTTTCGCCATCTACCTTCACAAACACATCATTCATATTTGTCATCTTTTTTATTTACCCGATTATAAGCTAACTAATTTTACCGTCTAGCCTATTAATTGTTAACTATAGCATGTTCGCTAGAATAAATGGACTATTTCAATTTCCAGTTGCAATTTATATTTAGGCAAAAAAAACTTTGAGGCAAAACATTTTTATAAACTTAACTATATACAATCGTAATTATTTGAGAGAGAGAGAGAGAGAGAGAGAGAGAGAGAGAGAGAGAGAGAGAGAGAGAGAGAGAGAGAGAGAGAGAGAGAGAGAGAGAGAGAGAGAGAGAGAGAGAGAGAGAGAGAGAGAGAGAGAGAGAGAGAGAGAGAGAGAGAGAGAGAGAGAGAGAGAGAGAGAGAGCTTCTAGGAGTTCCAGGATAGGTTAAATAAGTTCGACGTCACAAACGAACAGGTCATGCGCACAAGCGTGCATTGACTCCATATAAGATGTGGGATCTGGGATCGCAAATGAATGCTGGAGAAGCGAAAATGAAGTCGTTGACTGCCGTCTAGAAGGAATGTGACATTCAAGATGAGATACCATAGGCTACATGCTCAAAAGCACACTTAAATTTGTTTTGGATTTTAACGCCCCTTCTTTGTTCGGCCGATGTCTTAAAACTTGCAAAAACGGTTGTGCGTATAGCCTATGGCAAATGTTTATAGGGCCTAATTCTTCGAAAAGCCCAACTTAACCTAGTTTTGAGTTAAAACCTGCAAAACTAACATTATGACTCTTTTACTTGAACATTGTGCGTTCAATTGGCTATAGGCCTACATATTTTAACCCATTTGTTATTATACTTTTTATTTGTCATTTTACACACACGTGCGCGCATGTTCTACTTTAATAATTATGTCTTCTATTTTATAACTCTGAAATCAATTTTTGCAATATTTTATACAACAATTATACTATAGTAATGCAGTCAATAATAACATAAATAATAATATAGTTATAGCAAATAGGCCGATAGTAGCTATAGGCCTAATGCTGTTGTCTTTTTGATTGTGACAACTAATTGGTAATTCGCAATTGATAATTTTATAACGTATTATTTATAATTTCAAATTCAAACAAATGTATTATTATTATTAGGCCTATTATTATGTTAGGGTATTTTAGAATATGCACTAAAATCTAAAATTAAATATATTCAAATATTTTAATTATATTATTAAAATATTGTATTAATTATATATTAAACAAATTGTGTATTGTTGTTTTATTAATATGATTTTAGTAAAATACTTTTTTTCAATTAAAGAATATCTAACTGTCTCTGACTAAATCTCTGCCTTAGAGCGCTGAGTTGTTGCCTCTAGCCTTCCACATTTTCAACTGACGACATATGCTTCTTTGGGCATTGCAAGCATTGATTGACAGATCAACCATATCCAATCAGAGCTGCGCAGGTTTAGCACAATTTCACTGGTCCAATGTGGATACGTCATCACTCAAAATAGCCAATGGCAAACAATTCCCCTGAATATGTCCGGATATGACGATTTTCAAGATGGAAACTCTTTAGCGCCCCGTTGTGGATGCATTTTTTTTAGTTTCAAACATTTTGCAGTTCTCCTGAAAGAGCGAGGGCGAGCAGTTTACTGCCACAAGGAGTCGCTGCCAAATATGTTTAACATAATATGTGGATATGAAATGAATCTTCCAGTATTCATTCTCTTGGTGTTCTACACCTAGAACTTAGTTTAAGTGTTTAAATATTTCCTAACGTTTTTGCAATTACAAACATTATCCATTGCTTGTGTGCATAGCTTTATGTTGGTCTGGAAATGTCTCAGTGTGCATTGAAGCTTGGGTTTTTTGGTGGGGGACAGTCTGTTGATGACCGACTCTATAACTATGTTTGCCCACAAAGGCTTCTCAACAGAAACAAAAACTAAGATACAGAAATGTTGCACAAAAAGTAACTGGCGACTCTTAGCAGAAAGTTATTTAAACAGAGAATTCGTGTTGGAATCCAGCTTCCATTTTAGCCTACATTTGTTTGTCATTTTGTTTACGAGGTCTCTTAAGCTTGTTCTTTCTGATGGGATTGTTTATGAGGCATTAGAAGGATAGCTGGATCCCTGAACTGCACTTTATCTGTTTCAATAGATTGTGCACGTGTGCATGAAAGAGCATTTGTGTGTCTTTGACTCCTGATCGATACAGGATCACCTGCATTCTTCCCCCTCACCAAACGCTAATGTGTCTGTTATTGATTTGAGGGTGAGTAAAATGAGACAATGAAATGCACTCAAAGACTCAAAGAAGGAGGATACAGACAATAAGTCAAAGTGAACGAGATGAGAGTGGTAAAGTGGATAAAATAAATAGGGAGTAAATCATAACACAAAATTAAAGAAAACATAGGACTAAGAAATGAATATGTAAAAATATAAATAGAGGTCTCATAAATAGCTACTTTAAAGGGTGACTGTAAATATGAATCAGTTTAAAGTCTTTCTAACAAAAAGATGTTGAATATACTAAAAAATATTAATACCAATGTCACACTCATGTGGCATTAAAAGCAAAAGGATATGACTCAATAAGACAAATTAGTTTTTTCATCAATTATATAAATGTCTTTTTTAACTATTTTACAAATAATTCTGTGTTCATGTAACAGAGAAACACAAAGAGAGAGAATGTCTGTGTGTGGAAATAAGGGGGCAACATTAAGTGGAGCTCTATGATTCGGGTCAGAGGTCAAAAGTTGTTTCTCGAGCTCTTGCCTAGGGGTGAGGGGGAAGGGTCCGTAATGACTGACAGATGTTTTATGGGAGGGGGTGGAATTTGTTATGTGTTAATGTTTTTCTTGAAACACTGAAACCGTCAGACACTCACACAGGATTCTCAAATGTCTAGCGGTCCAGCACCATTCGTGTCAGCTCTGTTATTTTTGAATGCCTTGACAAGCACATAAGACTTTTACTTTACCTAGGTCCCTGAAAATATGTAATTAAG